TACATTGACAATTTATTGATGAATAAATTGACGAAGTTCTTCATGAATTAATTCACGAATTTATTGGTAAACAGTGTGGTTTTACACTGCTACAGACTTTGTCAAGTTTTTTGACGTATGAATCAGTTCTACCAATGAATCAAAGAAGCAAATAAATTTCAAAAATGTCACCTTTCCACTCATAATTGTAGTGATACAACAGCGGTACCGTTCTGACACATATTATATAAATATTAGTTTTTGTAAGTAACAAATCAGTAAAAACAATGCAAAACTAGTACGACGCCACACAATTATTTACATATTCCAATAACATAACCTCATTACTGATCTGAGGCTGGAAATCTGTTGGGTTGGTACTTCCGAACTTCACGAAGAAATTGACGAAAATTAGAACATGCTCTAATTCGTCAAGAACTTGATGAATAAATTCATGAAGTTATTTGACAGCAGATTTGGTGCATTACACCTGTCCAATTTCTTGATGAAGCGACTTCATGAATTAATTGTCAATGTAAAACAGCTATAACACATAAACCATTGTAATCCTGAAAAAAAAACTGTACCTACTCAAATATATCTCAGTTTGCAAGTTGTACTACAAAAAAGTTGATTTTGACAAATAGAACATTTTTATTTCAGTTAATGTGTTTATGTTAGCAGAGGACTGCTGCTTGTTTAATAATTACCCGATTTTTTAACTGCAATAATAAAGATAACAATATATATGTACATAAACAATTAACTTGTATACCTGTATGCATCGATAAAATTTATTTTCATTATTGCTGCCGTGCTATGACAAAACCATATAATCGCAATGTAAACAATGTAAGTCTCATAACTCCTCAAAAATAGCTGTTATTCCAATAGTGCATTAGATATGTAGACTGATGTTTTGAGAAGCTCCTATTAAAGTTGTAGATTAATATCTTGAACATGATTTTTTTGTAAGCATTTATTTTTTAGTGAATTATCTCAAAATGCGCTTTTTTCTAACACTTCCATGGTTCTGCCATAGCACGGCAATGTTATCGTTTATGTTTGCATTTCCTGTAACATGTATTTGCTGAACTAGAGCACATAATGAGTATAACTTAAAAATCTATGTTTAAAATATTTTATTCAATATAAGCATCCTTAAACTCTTTTGTTTTATTTTATATTCGCTAACTATTTTAGCATATTTTTAAAAAAGCTTGAGAAAGACAAGGCAATATAAAGTAGTGTTAAGGATAGCTTTTAACAAGCTAGGCATATTAACAATTAACAGTGGATTCCCTTTCAGGTGCCGTACTGCGCAGAATTGGTGAGCAATGTCGCGTGTTGTGTGCATCGGTAATCACTCTCTCACACTCCTAACAACACTTAAATTGTACAGTGAGCCAGCAATAAACCAATAAATTTGATACCGATGTCAAATATTTGAGGACATATTTCAAGATTACATCACATATCATATCAATCATTTATCATAGTCAAAATGAATAATTTACGTGAAATATTATTACTTGAACAGTAAAAGAAAATAAGAAATATTGTCGGAGAAAATATTTCCAAAATAAATAGCTGTACTTTTGGTTACACCAGAAATCATCATAAATTTCTTTACTTTATACATAACGGTGCACCTTTATTCTATACATATTAGGATTATTAAATCGATCGATTTTCTAAATTCTACACTCTTTGGAGTATTTCATTTAATTTTTAATTTTTAGGTTTTTTCAATATCTGGAGCATTAATTTCTGACATAAAAGTAATATTGATAGCTAGGTAAAACGATTTTTAAGACTCACAGTGATACAGAGCATTCATAAATGTTTACAAGCCACGTAACTGCCGAGCTTAGGCAATTAACAAAAATCCCTAAATCTTTGGCCTCATCAATATTAATCGTTACATCTACGCTTGAGGTAATGTCATCGCTGATTAGTTCAATAGAAGCTTGTGAAAAATTACACCAATCACTAGCCGGTGAAAGAGAATGTTGTATTTTAATATAATTGGGCCAATCAAGCATTAAATCAGTGATTTTGTGACAAAAATCTAGTAACGGATGAACTCATATAGAAGGCTAAGTGTGCACAAAGCAGGCGCTGTCGGACCATTAGTTTTGGCACAATTACAATTTGAGTTTTTTGGTGCACTACTTTACAAAATTTCTGGACGCGTTGGAGGTGGTCCGATTTTAATGTTTCAGCCGGATTTTAAAAGTAGAAATACAATACTACAAATCGTATATTCTAATTTTCGGATAAAATGATGCGAAGTAGGTGAAAAATTCCTCCAAACATGGTCAAAAACGGCCTAGCGCGCGTACGCGGTTGAGTAATGGGAGGGCGGGAGATGAGGGGCAGTGGATATACAGGCTGTTACAATTCGCTTCTCACTACAGGGATCTCGAAAACGGCAAGAGATACAAACTAGCTTAAATGGGGGCAAAGTTGCGTAATCAGGGGACCAACATTATGTCTCTAAAAAATCAAAGTTAACATGATTAGTTTTCGAAATATTTTAAAAAACCGAAATTTTGGAAATCCCTTTTTGTTTCATTTCAGCCTTGTTTAAAGGCGATATTGAAAAAAGAATAACACTTTCTCATTGCCACTTTTTGCCCTCTATCAAATGGCATAATCAATTTTTATATGTAACGTTTCGTCTCTCCAGGACCATCATCAAATTCATTTTTTTAAATATGACCCTAGAAATTTTATTACATTTTTTGCAAGCCTTCATGACCCCCAATACTGCATATACTGCCTCAGTCCGAACCAGATTCAGACGTTTTGTCTCGAAAAATTCATCTTCAGTGTATTCGTTCCAAATTTATCTAAATTTTTTATTTAGATTTCTTTGTTCATTGAATTATCGTATACTGTAAGTGTAGTTAGACCCTGTGAAATCCATCTAGTTATTTAAACTATTACCAAATTTAGATAAATTTGGAACGAATACACTGAAGATGACTTTTCGAGACAAAACGTTTGAATCTGGTTCGGGCTGAAGCAGCACAGTATTGGGGATCATGAAAGCTTGCAAAAAATGTAATAACATTTCTAGGGTCGTATTTAAAAAAATGAAGTTGATGATGGTCCTAGAGAGACGAAACGTTACATATAAAAATTAATTATGCCATTCGATAGAGGGCAAAAAGTGGCCATGAGAAATTGTTCTTCTTTTTTCAATGTCACCTCAAACAAAGCTGAAATGAAACAAAATCGGATTTCCAAAATTTCGGTTTTTTCAAATATTTTGAAAACCATATCATGCTAGCCTTGTTTTTTTATAGGAATAATGTTGGTCCCCTGATTACGCAACTTTGCCCCCATTTAAGCTACTTCGTACTTCTTACCGTTTCCGAGATCCCTGTAGTGAGAAGCGAATTTGTAACAGCCTGTATAGGTATACAATTTTGATTATTGTTAGTTTTAGTATAGTTTAATATTAATGTAAGTGATGATAATACACATGACATAATAAATAATATCAATACACGGAATCACATTGATGTAGACATTCTTTGTTTTATTTCTGCATTTTTTGACATTTACGCAAAATCTTGACATCAACCGTGAATTTGAAAGTTTTCTTACAAAATGTACTTTTCTGTTCCAAAGAATACATATTTATATGTATACCGTTAAGGAATACAATAATATTTACTTTGATTTGTACACTCCAAAACACTGGTATTATTTATTACGTATCACCACTTACAATAATATTAAACTATACTATAATTTAAAGAAAAGCCAAAGAAATTTGTATGTTAACGTGTGTATAAAATTTTTATTAAAATCTTAGCTGAGCGCTTTCGACTACATAGTCATCATCGGAGCTATTCCTAAAATATCAACAAGAGGTTGAAATCACATTATATAAAGCAAAAATTGTTTTTTTTATATAATGTCATTTCCTCTTGTTGATATTTTAGGAATAGCTCCGATGATGACTATGTAGTCGAAAGCGCTCAGCTAAGATTTTAATAAAAAAATTATACACACTTTAACATACAAATTTCTTTGGTTTTTCTTTAAATCACCGAAGTGTGTACTCAAGATACAGTCGTTATTATTTAATTATACTATAATTAACAATATTCAAAATTGTATAGTGTACACCTATACATATATCCACTACCCCTCATCTCTACCGATCTTCCCCCACTACTCGATGCGTTCACACTCTCCGCCGTTTTTGAGCAGGTTTGGAGGAATTTTTTACCTATTTCGCATCATTCTGTCGGAAAATTAGAATATACATTTTGTAGTGTTACACTTCTACTTTTAAAATCCACCAAAAAATTCAAATTGCAGTTGTGTCAAAACTAATGGTTCGACAGCGCCTGCTTTGTGCACACTTAAAGTACATACAGCATAATGTATAATTCACTATTTTTGTGAAAAGGTCAGCTCTACAATTTAAAAAATGGCGGAGTAATGAATTTTTAAAAAACGCAAAATTTTCCGATTTTCCCGGGTTTTCTTCGTTTCTAATTATCCGATAGGATCGATCGACCTCTCGTTTTATTCGCATATCGATTCTCTACAAATTGTCTCTGTATAGCAATCAGATTATTTCGTTAGTTTAGGTTTTATAACCAAAAACTAAAAAATTGCATTTTTGTCATAAAAATGTTTATAAAAAATTAATTAATGGTAAATTGTAGTAGAAGATATATAATATCTATACTTATACTATACATATATCTGCAGACTGTGTTTTATATGATCACACAATCCGTTTGCTACTAGTATTTTTGTCATAAACAAAACCTCTATTGACCGGCCTAAATCCTCATCTTACTGTTTTAATAACTTTTAATTTTACTGAAATTTAATTGCCAACGCGAAGGAAATAAAATTACTGTTCCAAACAACATCACTGGCCACGTGGCTTGTAATCATGTATAAAGGCTCTGTACTTTCGATATTTCCCAATAATAGACATTATCTTCCTTATTCATACATTAAACATATCACAACACATTTTTGCTATATTCTAACAGACAGTTAAGTTCTGCATGGATCTATATTAGCATCTCTATCTTCCACTGTTTTTGCAGCAAAATTACTCGTCGCTATTTTAACAAAAATTTAGAGTAATATACTTGTTTGTCTGTCTGATGCCCTGTGAACATCTATACAGGGTGATTCAGAACTTATCAAAAAAATAAATAAATTTTTCACTCTTACAAATACAAAAAAAATCAAAAAAGCAGTTCGAAAATTTGTGGTTTTAAATAATAAAATAGTTTTACAACAACTCAACTGTTAAAAATTTTATCCACCAACGTGTAAACACATTTGGGTCCGTCTTACTCAGTTTCTACGAACTAACACAAATGTTGTCTTGCTTCACCATAACACAAATGCTTCTCCATAATACAAAATACCATTCACCATAAAGTAAAACGGTATCCATCAACTCCGAGTTGCTATACACGCAAGCCATTTTTGATACTAACTACTAAAAAACTATTGTAAACACAACAGATAACAGGTAAACACTAACGCAACGACGATTGTAAAATCGGATTTCACTATTCGAAGGCGTGGAGGCCACGTGGCTCTCCACGCGTATAGCGAATGACGCTAGAGACTACAGTTGTCCAGCTATGTAATGGTTGAATGTACTACAACTTCAATAATTTTTTTCTCAGAAACTATAAGGATTTTACAATTTTTTTTAAATATTGACTCTATTTCTCATGCCGCAGCTATTCCCATTTTTTTTTGGACAAGTTGTGAATCACCCTGTAAATAAAGCTATAAAGTAATCGTATAAGTTACAGAAGCGGAACTCGCTCGAACCGCTCTCCTCACTTTTGTGAGGCCACATGCTAATTCTGTGAAGAGTAATATTATGCTGACATGTGCAACAAGACACTGAAAAATGAGCCGTGCTATTGCTTACTGCCAGGTAATTCATTTGGGATAGAAACAATATGTGTATACACTGAAACAAAGTTTTTAGCATCTTATATCGCCTTCACTTTTGGTAGATGTTACTGGTATTGGATAAGGTTGGCGTAATTCTATTATATTTTTCAGGGTATTCTAAACTAACATCCAATTATAATGTGTTAAAAATATAAAAAAGTAAATTATTTTAAAAATAGCAATAAAGCATAACTTTATATTTTTATGTCGAAAGTGTAAAATACATATCTTTTACGAATATTAATTAAACAGTATGACCCATAAAAGCTTTATTAATAGTGCAATTTTAACCAGATTGTAGAGCTTGATGACTCTTTGAGCAAAAGGGGCCACATTTACAGGCGCAGGGTTTTGAAAATTTCA